CTAGGTTGATTCCAAGTTCTGGCTATTACAAATAATGCTGCTATGAACATAGTGGAACAGACATCTTTGTTGTATGAATGGGCATCTTTTGGATATATGCCTAAGAGTGGAGTTGCTGGGTCTTGTGGTAGGTTTATTCCCATTTTTCTGAGGAAACTCCATACTGATTTCAAAAGTGGCTGAACCAGTTGGCACTCCCACCAGCAATGGAGGAGTGTTCCCCTTTCACCACATCCTCTCCAGCATAAATTGTCATTGGTGTTTTTGATTTTAGCCATTTTGACAGGAGTCACATGGTATCTCAGAGTTGTTTTGATTTGCATTTCCCAGATGGTTAAGGACATTGACCACTTTCTCAAGTGCCTCTCAGCCATTTTAGGCTCCTCTATTGAAAATTCTCTGTTTAGTTCTGCAGGCGACTTTTAGTTGGATCCTTTTGTGTTTTGGAGACTTGCTTCTTGAGTTCTTTGTGAATTTTGGAGGTCAACCCTCTGTCAGATGCGGTATTAGTGAATATTTTTTCCCATTCTGTGGGCTGCCTTTTGTCTTGCTGACTGAGTCCTTTGCCTTACAGAAGCTTCTCAGTTTCAGTAGGTCCCATTTATTAATTGTTGATCTCACTGTCTGTGCTAGTGGTGTTATGTTCAGCAAGCTGTCTCCTGTACCAATTCGTTCAAGGGTACCACCCACTTTCTCTTATAAGAGGTTCAGTGTGGCTGGATTTATGTTGAGGTCTTTGATCCATTTGGAATTAAGTTTTGTGCATGGCAATAAACATGGATCTACCAGCATTCTTCTACATACATGCCAGCCTCCAGTTCTGCCAGCACCATTTGTTGAAGATGTTTTCTTTATTCCATTGTATATTTTTAGCTTCTTTGTCAAAGATCAGATGTTCAGACTTGTGTGGGTTAATATCCGGGTTTTCAATTCAATTCCATTTGTTTACCTGTCTATTTTTGTGCCAATACCAAGCTGTTTTCAGGACTATAGCTCTATAATAGAGCTTGAAGTCAGGGATGGTGATGCCTCCGGACGTTGCCTTGTTGAACAGGGTTGTTTTGGCTATCCTGGGGTTTTTGTTTTTACATAGAAAATTGATTACTGTTCGTTCAAGGTCTGTGAAGAATTGTGATGGAATTTTAATGGGGATTGCATTGAATCTGTAGATTGCTTTTGGCAGGATTGCCATTTTTATTACATTGGTCCTTTCTATCCCAGAGAATGGGAGATCTTTCCGTTTTCTGAAGGCTTTATCTTTAAAGATTCAAAGTTATTGCGGTACAGGTCTTGCACTTGTTTGGTTAGCGTTACTCCAAGGTATTTTATGTTGTTTGTGGCAATTTTAAAGGGTGATGTTTCTCTGATTTCTTTCTCAGCCCTTTTATCATCTGTATATAGTAGGGCTACTGATTTTCTTGAGTTGATCTTGAGCCTGCCACTTTGCTGAAGGTGTTAATCAGCTGTAAGAGTTCCCTGGTAGAGTTCTTTGGGTCACTGATGTAACCTATCATATCATCTGAAAACAGTGAAAGTTTGACCTCTTCCTTCCTATTTTGTATCCCCTTGATCCCCCTTTGTTGTCGTATGGCAATGGCTAGAACTTCAAGTACCATGTTGAAAAGGTATGGAGAGAGTGGACAGCCTTGTTGTGTTACTGAATTTAGAGGAATTGCATTGAGTTTCTGTCCATTTAGTTTGATGTTGGCTGTTGGTTTACTGTATATGGCTTTTATTATGTTTAAGTATGTCCCTGTTATCCCAGATCTCTCCAAGACCTTTATCATAAAGGGGTGTTGGATTTTGTCAAATACTTTTTCAGCACCTAGTGAGATGATCATGTGATTTTTGTTTTTCAGCTTGTTTATATGGTGGATTATGATCATGGATTTTTGTATGTTGAACCATCCCTGCAGCCCTGGGATGAAACCTACTTGATCGTGGTGAATGATTGTTTTGATGTGTTCTTGGATCCGATTTGCCAGTATTTTATTGAGTATTTTTGCATCAATGTTCATGAGGGATATTGGTCTGATGTTCTCTTTCTTAGTTGTGTCTTTGTGTGGTTTGGGGATCAAGGTTATTGAAGCCTCATAGAAGGAGTTTGGCAAAGACCCTTCTGCTTCTCTTGTGTGGAATACTTTGAGAAGAGTTGGTATAAGCTGTTCTTTGAATTTCTGGTAGAATTCTGAGCTGAGGCCATCTGGACCAGGACTGTTTTTGGTTGGGAGACTTTTGATGACTGCTTCTATTTCCATAGGGGTTATAGGTCTATTTATATTGCTTATCTGTTCTTGATTTAGTTTTGGCAAGTGATATTTATCCAGGAAGTCGTCCATTTCCTTTAAATTTTAGAATTTTGTGGAGTACAGGTTTTCAAAGTATGACCTGATGATTCTCTGGATTTCCTCAGAGTCCGTTGTGATGTCCCCCTTTTCATTTCTGATTTTGTTAATTTGCATGTTCAGTCTCTGCTGTTTGGTAAGTTTGGACAAAGATTTGTCTATCTTATTGATTTTCTCAAAGAACCAACTCTTTGTGGCATTGATTCTTTGTATTGGTTTCCTGGTTCCTACTTTATTGATTTTAGCCCTCAATTTGATTATTTCCTGGTGTCTTCTCCTCCTGGTGGACTTAGTTTCTTTGTGTTCTAGAGCTTTCAGCTGTGCTATTAATTCTGTAGTATAACTGTCCTCCAGTTTCTACATGTGGGCACTTAGTGCTATAAACTTCCCCCGTAGCACTGCTTTCATATTGTCCCATAGGATTGGGTATGTTAAGTCTTCATTCTCATTGAATTCTAGGAAGTCTTTAATTTATTTTTGAGTTCTTCTTTAACCCAGGAATGGAGCAGTTGTGCATCATTCAATTTCCATGAGTTTGCAGGTTTTCTGCAATTTGTGTTGTTGTTGAATTCTAATTTTAAAGCTTGGTGGTCTGATAAGATGCATGGGGTTATTCCAATTATTTGTAGCTGCTGAGGTTTGATATGTTGCCAAGTATGTGGTCGATTTTTGAGAAGATTCTATGTGGTGGTGAGAAGAATATATATTCTTTTTATGTGGATTAAATGTTCTATAGATGTCTGATAATCCAAGTTGTGTCATTACTTCTATTAGACCCTTTACTACTTTGTTGAGTTTCTATCTGGTATTCCTGTCTAGTGGTGAGAGTGGTGTGTTGAAATCTCCCACTATAAGTTTGTGGGGCTTTATATGTGATTTAAGTTTTAGTAATGTTTCTTTTACGAATGTGGATGCATTTGTATTTGGGGCATAGATGTTCAGGATAGACACTTCGGCTTGGTGGATTTCACCTGTGATGAGTATGTAATGACTTCCTTCATCTCTGTTGATTGATTTTATTCTAAAGTCAAGTTTGTTAGATATTAGGATTGCTACACCTTTTTGTTTCTTGGGACCATTTGATTGGAAGATTTTTCCCAACCTTTAACTCTCAGGTAATGTCTGCCTTGGAGGGTGAGGTGTGTTTCTTTTATGCCGCAAATGGAAGGGTTCTGTCTTTGAATCAATTCTGCTAGCCTGCGTCTTTTTATGGGTGAGTAAAGGCCATTAATGTTGAGGGATATTAATGACCCTTGATTTCTCATCCTTCTTCGATTTGTAATGGTTGTTGGTGGTGGAATTATATGTGGAATTTCACCCCTTTGTTCTTTTGTCTGTTAGTAGAGAGGGATTCTCTAATGCCTATGTTTTTCTGGTTATAGTTAACTTCCTTGGGTTGGAGTTTTCCTTCCAAAATTTTCTGTAGGGCTGGGTTAGTTGACACGTATTGCTTGAATCTAGTTTTGTCATGGAATATCTTGTTTCTCCATCTATAATTATTGAGAGATTTTCCGGGTATAGTAGGCTGGGTCGGCATCCATGGTCCCTTACTGTTGGTAGAATATCTATCCAGGACCTTCTGGCTTTCAGGGTTTCCCTGGAGAACTCAGGTGTAATTCTGATATGTCTGCCTTTAGATGTTACTTGGCCTTTCTCCTTAGCTGCTCTTAATATTCTTTCTTTATTCTGTATATTTGGGGTCTTGATTATTATGTGGCAAGGGGACTTTTTGTGGTCCACTCTATTTAGTGTTCTGTAAGCTTCTAGTACCTACATTGGCATGTCTTTCTTAAGGTTGGGAAAGTTTTCTTCTATGACTTGTTGAATATGTTTTCTGCCCCTTTGAGGTGGTTTTCTTCTCCTTCTTCTATACCTATTATTCTTATGTTTGGTCTGTTCATGGTGTCACATATTTCCTGGATGTTTTGTGTTAAGGATTTGTTGGACTTAAGGTTTTATTTGGTTGATGAATCTATTTCTCCTAGTGTATCTTCAACACTTGAGATTCTCTCTTCCATCTCTTGTATTCTGTTGGTAATGATTGTATCAGTAGTACCTGACCATTTGCCCAGGTTTTCTATTTCCTGCCTTTCTTCAGATTGTGTTTTTTATTGTCTCTATTTCAGTTTTCAACTCTTACAGTGTTTGCATTGTTTCTTGTAATTTTCGGTTTATCTTTTCATCCATTTGTTCCCTTTTATGAATTTTTTGGTTTGTTCTTCCTTCCATTTCTAAGCAAGAACATTTGTAATACATCCATATTACAATATTTCTATCTTCACTTTGCTCACTAAAATGTATGGCCTCTTTTCCTTCTTAGAGTTGTTTCATTAATATATGTACATGTATCTACATAAATATTCCTAAATAAAACTTGAACAATCCATACAATTTAATATGCATATATATTTTAAGACTTTCCATTTGGTACTGGACAATAAATTGCTATGTGCTTCCCTGATAAAGACTGTGTTTGTATATGGTGGTGGCACGCACATTGGATTCACAATATACCTCTAACTGAATTAAACCTGGATGGCTAAAACATGTGTCTAGATTATTCTTACTGGCATTATCAGTCTTTGGACAGCTGACATGAATGATGATCTTCAAGCAAAAAAGAGACACCCCCCATAAAAAAATATAAAAATTGACTAAAGATTTTACTATTTTTATTGTCAAGAAAGAGAGGGAATATATTTGAAGTTAAAAAAAGAGGCAATATATATGTGTAACCTCAAATACTATCAGAGCTTTAATGTATATATTTAATATTGTATAAACATCATATTACATTAACAGCAGCATCACATTTCACTAAATTAAAATCTGGAATCCTTATGAGTTTGCATGGTTCTTTAAAATAAGATCCGGATATCAGGTCAGAAAAAGCTAGTGCTTAAGTCATTTCTAGTGAGAATAAATATCTCTGCATCACCATATCATAAATAGCTCATTTTCCAATAAACATTTTATGACTACAAAATCTCTATCTGTATAGAATGATTCTAACTTTGTAAAAGATGTAGAGCTTCCTATAGAGGACTCCAGAGTACTGAATAATATATGAAGATTTATACTGAATATTTTCAAAATGGGTAAGACACTTGTTTGTGTCTGATAACTCATACAGCGAATTACTGAGATATTCTAATAACATTAACAAAACTGGTCCATTATATGGAATTTCTGATTGTGTATAATACTTGACCATCTGGTGAATGATTTCTGACATTCTTGGAATTTCTAAGATTTGTCATGAGAATGGATTCTGTGATGAGTGTGAAGGCTTGAGTGTCTAGCAAAGGACTTGCCACACTCTTCACATATGTATGGTTTTTCACCAGTATGGATTCTGAGGTGACATTGAAGATGTGAATGACGGGTAAAGCACTTGCCACACTCTGCACATCTGTAAGGTTTTTCACCAGTATGGATTCTGTGGTGACGATGAAGATTTGAATGATGGGTAAAGCACTTGCCACATTCTTCACATCTGTAAGGTTTGTCACCAGTATGGATTCTGTGGTGACGATGAAGATTTGAGAGGCACGTAAAAGATTTGCCACATTCTTTACAACTGTAAGGTTTATCACCAGTATGGATTCTGTAGTGAACTTGAAGATGTGAACGACGGGTAAAGCACTTGCCACATTCTTCACAACTATAAGGTTTGTCACCAGTATGAACTCTGTGGTGACTTTGAAGATTTGAGAGTTGTGTAAAAGATTTGCCACATTCCTTACAACCGTAAAGTTTTTCATCAGTATGTATTCTGTAGTGAACAGGAAGAGATGTGTGATAGGTAAAGAAATTTCCACATTCTTTATATCTGGAAGGTTGGTCTGGAGTGTGCATTCTCTGCTGAACTTGAAGACTTGAGATCTGCAAAAAGGAGTTGCCACATTCTTCTAATGTGTAAAGTTTGTCACCAGTAGGAATGCTGGGCTGAGCTTGAAGGGTTGAGTAACAGGTAAAGGACTTGCCACATTCTTTCCTTCTCTTAGGTTTCTTTCCTGTCTTGATTTTATGGTGTCTCCTAAAGTGTGAGTAGTTATGGAGACATTTTTCACATCCTTCACATGTGTAGGACTTCCATACAATATGAGTTATTCCATGTGTAATGAAATTTGAGGTGCACCTGAAATATATTTTACAATTACCATTGTGGTTGGGGGTCATCAAAGGATGGATTTGGTGGCAGGTGCTATGAAGAGAAAACTCTATAAAGGCCTTGTCACTTTTGTTCCAATTCCATGCTTTCTCTCCCCAATGGATTTTATGGTGGTTTGTGAAGGGTGACCATTCACAGCAGCACTTCCCCCATTCCTTATAGTTGAACTGTTCCTCTTCAGTATGAACTCTGTTATGTCTGGTGATGTGTGTAGAACTCCTGAGGCATTTTTCATATAAATTATATTCACATGGTTTATCTCCAGCATAGAGTATAAGATAGCCTAGATGTTTTAAAAGGGAGAAAGATTATTATATATTTTATATATCTGGACCTCTCTTCCATGTCCCTTCAATGATTTTGAATAGAATTTTACATGGATAGTAGAATCCATTTTGTTCTTGACTAAGGCTATAGGAAATATTTCTAGGAATACACTTTCTGAAATAAACATTTGAGCATCCATCAAAAGTTCAGTTATGGTAATAGATTTTATGAAGTTTCTCTTGTTTTGGTCAGGCACATGAATAAAAAATGCTTTTGTTCTAAACAAAAGTCTCTTTATAGCGATTGTTATTGAAATAACTCTCAGGAGAAACTGTATTCGTTGATTGTAAGTCCTGTATAAAGACATACCCTGGCTCTCCATGATCTCCTGGACTTGGAACTGCAACTTGGCCACACGAAGGGTCCCCTGAAAACTGAGCGACCAGGAGTCAACTAAGAGAGCCTGCCTACTCCCACTCCCATTCAGGGCAGAGAGTAGAGACCAGAGGTGATCTACAGGCCCCCACACTGGTGGCAAATTCCTTTTGCTTGCACTCTCTCGGATCTCCTGTACTGGGGAATGCAACCTCAGAGGACCTAGTGACAAACATCCTACTAAGAGAGCCAGACTACTCCCACCCACACTCAGATCAGAGGGCAAAAGTCAGAGTAGGGAAAGCAGAGCTCTCCACCAATAGGAGAGAGAGTGCCTCAGACAAATATACACCCACTGTAACATCCTTCAGTGAATTGAACCTGCTTAAGCCAACCAGAAGAGAACCTTGGACCCATACCCACCAGAAAAGGAAGAGACCCCACCAGTACCCACTGAAAGAAGTGATGGGAAATTGACAATACGAGAACAAATTCAATTACAGAAAAAAACAATATGATAACACAAGACTCTAGGGACTCTATACCAGCAATATCTGAACATCACAACACAGATGAAACAGAAGAGAAGCACGCTATAAAAAACTTCATGAAGATGATAGATACCCTACAAGAAGACATGAGAAAATCCTTTAAAGGATAGAAGAAAAGACAAACCAGAGTTGGTTCTTTGAGAAAATCAACAAGATAGAAAAACTATTGTCAAAACTTACCAAATAGCAGACTGTGAACATGCAAATTAACAAAATCAGAAAAAGGAGAACATAACAACGGACTCTGAGGAAATTCAGAGAATCATCAGGGCATATTTTGAAAGTTTGCACTCCACAAAATTTGAAAATTTAAAGGAAGTGGACAATTTTTTGGATAGCTATCATTTGCTAAAATTAAATCAAGAACAGATCAGCAATTTAAATGGACCTAAAACCCCTATGGAAATAGAAGCAGTCACCAAAAGTCTCCCAACCGAAAAAAAAGCACAGGTAAGATGGCCTCAGTGCAGAATTCTACCAAATATTCAAAGAACAGCTTATACCAATTCTTCTCTAAGTATCCCATGCAATTGTAGTAGAAGAGTCTTTGCCAAACTCTTCCTGAGGCTTCAATAACATTGATAGCCAAGACAAAACAAAGAAAGAACTTCAGACCAATATCCCTCATGAACATGGATGAAAAAATGCTCAATAAAATACTGGTGAATCGGATCGAAGAACACATCAAAACAATCATTCACGATGATCAATTTGATTTCATACGAGGGATGCAAGGATGGTTCAACATATGAAAATCCATCAATGTAATCCACAATATAATCAAACTGAGAAACAAAAATCACATGATCATCTCACAAGATGCTAAAAAAGCCTTTGATAAAATCCAACACCCCTTCATGATAAAGGTCTTGGACAGCTCCAAGATAACAGGAACATACTTAATCATAATAAAAGCTATATACAGCAAACCAATAGCCAACATCAAACATTTAGTTTAGTTTCCATTTAGGAAAGAAATTCTATGTGAATCTGCTAAAATCAGGAACAAGACAAGACTGTCTACACTCTCCATACCTCTTCAATATTGTACTTGAATTTCTCACTAAAGCAATAAGACAACAAAATAAAATCAAGGGGATATGAATTGAAAAGGAAGAGGTGAAATTTTCACTCTTGCATCTGATATGATAGTTTACTTAAGTGACCAAAAACTCTACCAGAGATCTCCTACAGCTGACAAATACCTTCAACAAAGTTGCAGGATACAAGATAAAGTCAAGAAAATCAGTAGCCCTATTATATATAGACGATTAAAGGGCTGAGAAAGAAATCAGAGAAAGATCACCTTTACAATTGCCGCACACAACATAAAATATCATGGGGTAACCCTAACCAAACAACTAAAGGCCTGTATCACAAGAACTTTGAGTCTTTAAAGAAAGAATTTAAAGAAGACACCAGAAAATGGAAAGACCTTCGATGCTCCTGGATAGGTAGGATCAACATATTAAAAATGGCATTCCTGGCAGCTTCCCGGCCTGTGTTCCAGAGCCTGCAGATCGCCTGGGAACTGCACAGAGCTCCCAATCCCGGCGGGAGCATCAGGTAAACAGGCCAGCTTTCCGGCCTGTGTTCCAGAGCCTGCAGATCGCCTGGGAACTGCACAGAGCTCCCAATCCCAGCGGGAGCATCAGGTAAACAGGCCAGCTTCCCGGCCTGTGTTCCAGAGCCTGCAGATCGCCTGGGAACTGCACAGAGCTCCCAATCCCGGCAGTAGCTAAGCACCCAGACCCCAGATCTTCTCTCCCACCAAAGAGACCAGGAAACTACAGGATCCAGGGAGACCAGGGGAGTAGCAGTTCCGGATCAGGTACAACAGGACCCAGCATAGGGTCCAGGGGACCAGGTAGGAGGCTAAGCGCCCCAGATTCCTGTTCTTCTTCTCTACCCACGGACCAGCATTTGGACAAGGCATAGAAGAACCACCAGATTACTGGACTTACTAGCACCCACCAAAAGGGAACTCTGGTCCCCAGACCAGGAAGGGGCTCTTTCTGCACCCACTAGAAGAAGAGATGGGAAAGAGACAATACAAAAACACAGTCAGCAACAGAAAAACAAATATGACACCGCCAGATTCTAGAGACTCCACACCAGCAAGACCCCAATATTCCAACGCGAAGGAAGCAGAAGAGAACGACCTTAAAAGCACTTTCATGAAAATGATAGAGGCCCTAAAAGAGGATATTGGAAAATCCCTCAAAGAAATGGAAGAAAAAACAAACCAAAAAATGCAACAAATGGAAGAAAAAACAAACCAAAAAATGCAAGAATTGGAAGAAAAAACAAACCAAAAAAGGCAGGAAATGGAAGAAGAAATGAAGCAAAAAATGCAAGAAATGGAAGAAAAAGCAAAGCAAAAAATGCAAGAATTAGAAGAAGAAACACACCAAATAAGGCAGGAAATGGAAGAAGAAACAAAGCAAAAAATGCAAGAAATGGTAGAAAAAACAAAGCAAAAAATGAAAAAAATGGAGGAAGAAACAAACCAAAAAAGGCAGGAAATGGAAGAAGAAACAAAGCACAAAATCCAAGAAATGGAACAAAAAGCAAACCAAAAAATGCAAGAAATGGAAGAAAGAACAAACGAAAAAATTAATAAAAGGCAACAAACAGACGAACAGATAAACAGAAAATTGCAAGAAGCAATGCAAACGCTGCAAGGGTTGAAAACTGAAATAGAGTCACTAAAAAAAACACAATCTGAAGAAAGGCAGAAAATAGAAAAGCTGGACAAACAGTCAGGCATTACCAATACAAGCATTACCAACAGAATAGAAGAGATGGAAGAGAGAATCTCAAGTGTTGAAGATACATTAGGAGAAATGGATTTATCAACCAAAGAAAACCTTAAATCCAACAAATCCTTAACACAAAACATCCAGGAAATATGGGACACCATGAAAAGACCAAACCTAAGAATAATAGGTATAGAAGAAGGAGAAGAAATCCACCTCAAAGGGGCAGAAGGCATATTCAACAAAATCATAGAAGAAAACTTTCCCAACCTTAAGAAAGACATGCCAATGAAGGTACAAGAAGCCTACAGAACACCAAATAGAGTGGACCACAAAAAAAAAATCCCTCGCCACATAATAATCAAGACCCCAAACATACAAAATAAAGAAAGAATATTAAGAGCAGCTAAGGAAAAAGGACAAGTAACATATAAAGGCAGACCTATCAGAATTACACCTGATTTCTCCATGGAAACTCTGAAAGCCAGAAGGTCCTGGATAGATATTCTACCTACACTAAGAGACCATGGATGCCAGCCCAGACTACTATATCCGGCAAAGCTCTCAATCACTATAGATGGAGAAAACAAGATATTCCATGACAAAACTAGATTCAACCAATATGTGTCCACTAACCCAGCCCTACAGAAAATTTTGGAAGGAAAACTCCAACCCAAGGAAGCTAACTACAACCAGAAAAACATAAGCATTGGAGAATCCCTCTCTACCAACAGCCAAAAGAACAAAGGGGTGAAATTCCACCCATAATTCCACCAACAACAACCATCGCAAATCGAAGAAGGATGAGCAATCAATGGTCATTAATATCCCTCAATATTAACGGCCTTAACTCACCCATAAAAAGACACAGACTAGCAGAATGGATTCGAAGACAAAAACCTTCCTTCTGCTGCATACAAGAAACACACCTCACCCTCAAAGACAGACATTACTTGAGAGTTAAAGGTTGGGAAAAAATTTTTCAATCAAATGGACCCAAGACACAAGCAGGGGTAGCAATCCTAATATCTAACAAACTAGACTTTAAAATAAAATCAATCAAAAGAGATGAAGGAGGTCATTACACTCATCACAGGTGAAACCCACCAAGAGGAAGTGTCTATCCTGAACATCTATGCCCCCAATACAAAGGCATCCACATTCGTTAAAGAAACATTATTAGAACTTAAATCTCATCTAAAGCCCCACACAGTTATAGTGGGAGATTTCAACACACCACTCTCACCACTAGACAAGAATACCAGACAGAAACTCAACAAAGAAGCAAAGGGTCTAATAGAAGTAATGACCCAACTGGGATTAACAGATATCTATAGAACATTTCATCCACATAAAAAAGAATATACCTTCTTCTCACCACCACATGGAACCTTCTCAAAAATCGACCACATACTTGGCAACATATCAAACCTCAGCAGCTACAAAAAATTGGAATAACTCCATGCATCTTATCAGACCACCATGCCTTAAAATTAGAATTCAACAACAACACAAATTGCAGAAAACCTACAAACTCATGGAAATTGAATAATGCTCAACTGCACCATCCCTGGGTCAAAGAGGAAATAAAAAAGAAATTAAAGACTTCCTCGAATTGAATGAGAATGAAGACACAACATACCCAAACCTATGGGACACTTTGAAAGCAGTGCTACGGGGAAGTTCATAGCACTAAGTGCTCAAATGAAGAAACAGGAAAACAGTTATACCAGAGAATTAACATCACAGCTGAAAGCTCTAGAACA